TTCCAATTTTGGCCAATATCGATTTTTTTATATAGCTGACACTGTTAGGTGTTGTGAGGTCACAATACAACTTTAATGTTCAAATGTTATTTTATTGAAATATATTGAATAATACCCTTGAAACAAAACAAACTTGTCTTAACTGGACATTAATTAGTGCTCACAGCAAAGCAAAAGAGGACAGCAGCTGATTTTCAGGCCGATCTTTTTGACCAATCCTTTCCACCGATTTTATCTAAGGATCGGCTGATCTCCCAAAATTAAGGAAATTAGCGCCAATAAATCGGGAAAAAAAACACTGTCCAATTTATCGGTGCACCCCTAACAGTAAGACTCTTAAATATTTACCTCCTCCTGTGTGCAGCTGTTGGTCAGCCTCAGGTTCCTCAGACTCTGGCTGGACACCACTCACACTCTGACCCTGAACTGGGATTTGGACTTGCCCTGCTGACTGGGGTACGTAAGACACCCCCTGCGACACGCCAGTCATTTGGGTGGATTGAGCAGCGCTGTAATTAGAGTTCTGAAGGCTCTGCTGAGATGCTGGCTGGGCACTCATCTGTGAGCTGTGCTGGTTCTGTTGTGGGGAAACATACGAAGCCGACGGTGGCACCGGCTGTGACTGAGGCATCTCCACACAGGACTGCTGGCCTGGTTGCTGTGTTGATGACTGATTCTGAAGCTCCTCTTCAAGCTTTCTCTTTTCTTGATCTTCTCTGACCTTCAACAAAAATCAGTGAAGAAAAAAAAACATCAAAAACCACCAGCTGACAAAGAACATAAACACTGAATGAAACAAGCTTAAAGAACACAGAACCTAAAACCCTTGTGATGAACATGAACCTACCTGCTGTCGCTGGGCCCTCTTGCGCCTGATTAGAGACACTCTATCCTTAATGGCTTTCGCAATGATCTTGAGGTCACCTTCACAAACATAACCAGACTCAACCTGTAGAGGAAAGACAAACACAAAGTCATCAGTGATTAAATAAAGAGGGTAATAAACTCATGTTCAATCAATAGCCCTTTTAGCACAGTGGTTCTAATGTATCAGTGCAAAAAGAACAAAAACATTCTTAAGTCAGAGCTATTTTTGTTTGTTTCTTTGACACACAAAATGTTTCAGCCCTGTGATTGCCTCCACTGACAGCTCAGCAGTGAATCAACTGTCACATTGACTTCAACCCTGTCATTCTGCCTTGCTACTTATTTACAAGAAACCAATGTGCAAGAAAAGCACATCAGTCCTGCCTTGAAAGGAGCTATTCACAGTAATAAGTCAGTTCAATTCACCATTTCCTGAGCCACATCCTCTGGGACATCTTTGTTGAGGTCAAAAGAAAACTCAATGGCTTCGTTGTCTTTGTACTTCCCCTTAAGTTTCTTTATATCCTCAATTCTCAGCCATAACTTTATTGCCTCCATCTCTCCATCATCCTCTTCTGCCAGCTCCACTCGTACACCTGTATCTTCCTGGAAGAATGCATGATTCAGAAGGTCTTTGATGGAGTATCTAAAAGAATTTAAAAAAAAGTTGTATTGAACAAATGACTTTCTTGAAGAAACAAAAACTTTGAAGTTATAAATGTGATGTTTTAAAGTTTGAGACCTCTCATTCTTGTTCTGTCGTATACATCCCTCGATGATCTCCTTCACTTCAGGAATGGCCACCTTGTCAAAGCTGCCTGGCTTCACCCCCTAAAGAAAACACAGAACCCTAAATGATAACTACCTTCCAAAACTGATATTTTCCTTGTCTGGAGAATGCCTTAAACTTTTGTTTTTTAAAATAAACTCAACTGTCAACATCCTTTTTTTCCCTTTTGGTCTGTGACAAAAAGAGGACGAATCTTGTTTACCTGGTGTTAATTACAGATTCCATCCAAGTAAATATTGTCTAAAATAAATAATTTTTACAAAAGACTGATTTTTCTGCAACTCAAGATATTTCCATCTGCATATGCTCAGATTTCTAAAGATAAGACCTAATGACTCAGCACCGCTCAAAACACAAATAAAATGAGAATATTTGAAATTACCAAAAGTCACTGATGTGAAACAAAAAAAGAGAGCTCAAACAGATGACTGAGGAAAGTGATGAAGACTACAGTAGACAACTCTAGAAACATGAATCATGAATGACAAAGTATTTCAAAAGTATGTCACTTGCATGAATAAGACTATAACTATGCATTTTCTCAACAGGTATTTCCTTTCAGACAGGATTACATAACTGTTGGGAAACCAGCATGACTGTGCTTGCTGAACCTGCTTTTAATCCATCAGGGTTAAGGTCTATATGGTAAGATAACACACTGTGATTTAGAGGAAAAGAGGAAAAAAAAAAAACAATGAACTGAAGGGGGATTTTTGTTTCAAATATGGCTTTTTCTATAAAAAGGCAGCAGTGGAATGAGGACAGAATGGAAGACAAACTAAAGAGTGTCAACAGGAATGAAAAATGACTCCAGAGACAATAGCCTTCTTGGTACATAGGAGGAGGTGAAGGCATGGCTGAGGCGTGACGTGGAGGGTCAAGGAGAAGACTTACGCTTGTTACTCTGCGGTAGATCTGTGCAGCATTCTGGCACTCTGAGTAAGGGTACTCTGAGGTGGCCATCTCCAGCATGCACATTCCAAAGGCATAAACATCCACTGACTCGTCGTACTTCTCTTCATACATCTCTGGCGCCATGAACTCAGGGGTACCTTAAATCAAAACAACTATTCAGAACTCTCGAACTCCCTTACTGATTGAGTGGGCTTCTCACAACCCAGTGCCCCTCTGCTCCTCTAACCCATGGGGGGGTTGAGGAAGAAGGGGACGAGAAGAGTGACCAGCCTGCTGACACCTCCTGGAGTAGAACCTGTGAGATGAAAGTTGGAGGATAGAGGAAAAAAAAAGTGGGGAAAGGAAAGCAAAAAAATAAAAATAAAAAAAGAGACAAAAAAAAGAAGGGGGAAGGTGGACTCAGTTAAATCGCAGAGAGAAAAGGACGTGTTTGTCTGTGTAAGACCTTGACGTGTTGGAATATAAGTGTGACTGTGGTGACCAATTTTCAGAACACACATTTTGGCCAAAATACATAATATTTACAACAACTCAAACTTGAGCCACTTATTAACAAGCTGGAATTGGATTAAATTGGTTTAAATCAATGCCAATTCGCTCTGTAAGAAAAATACAACTAGCCATGGAAGTGACTTTTGTCAAGACCTTTACAGATCTAACATTACCCTTTAGGTACCACCTACCTTTTGTAGTTTGACCTACCGCCTCCTCCGGACCTGCAGGAGAAACGTGTTGAGTTCAAGCCTGACAGAAGCAGATCCATTAGCTAGTTACAGAGCTGAACAGTGTTTCCTGCACATCAGCCCGTTTGAAACAACTGTTTTAGATTCAATCTCAGGTCCTACACAGAAAAACTCATTTTGTTATTTGATTGCAATAGTTTTTGATATTGATGTTTGATATTTACAGCACACTGTCAGACTTACCAGACCCTCAAAAGATACTTACTCAATGACCAGCAGTACCCTATTCATTCCAAACAGCAGAATGGGGCACAGCTGAGGCTAGAGCCTACATTTTAAAAACATACTCAAGAATGTGAACAGAAAACAAAAAGATAAAAAGAAAGAAATAAAAAACTAAAATAAAATGCTGACAGAGACAAAGTGGAGAGAGCTCCCAGGACAGAAAGACGGAACAAAAAGACTCTGTAGTCCTGCAATACTTTAAGACAGCAAGAGACAAAACACTAGGAAAAAAAACCTGTTGAAGAAAGCCCATACAAAGAGATGTTAAACATTTTAATCATCACTGGCAAACAGACCACATATTTCCAAACCACAGAACGAAGACCAGTCTAAGACATGAACAAAAGTCATATCTATTGCCCAAAAAAAAGGCATGACAACTATTGCAATAACAAAATATTTTAATTAATATAAGGAGAAACATTAGGCGCTACTTACAGTCAGTAGATGCCTGGGAAAAAAGGCCTTTCTTTTTGGAGAAACATAGAACAGAAATGCTCTGTACATGTACCAAAATTGACAAATAAAGTCAGTTGGCAAAGAGGAAAAGGCTTGTGGTTATTTGCCTTAGATCACCACAGTATTTAGCCTCCATTTGAGCTGTGGTTTGAGAGACAGCTGAAAAGCTGTGGTCTGTTTTCATCAACAATATCAGAAAAAACATTTTTCATGAAGACATAACATTCACAACTTTAAAAACGGTAATGTCCCACTGGGATCAGAAGGCTGAATTGACTTTGGAGACATACCTATAACACTTTTGGCAAAAGATGCGCGCTTGAGTGTGGCCAGTCCCAGGTCTCCAATCTTGACAGATCCTGTTGGTCCTGTGATGAAAATGTTGTCACATTTGAGGTCTCTGTGGATGATTGGGGGAGTCCGAGTATGAAGGAATTGGAGTCCCTTGAGGATCTGTCTACACCAGCTACGAAGCACTTTGATTTTCATCACCTTGAACCGCTTCAGGTATCTGCAAAGGAACAGATCAGATTTTCACATACCCAGGATCAAGCTGTGATAGTAAAAGCAGTTTTCTCTGGACCGAGTTGTGTATTCAAACTAGGGTTGGGCAATATTGGCAAAAAAATTAATCATGATTAATTGTGGTATTTAGCCGATAACGATTAATTTGACAATTAATCCCCTGGAGTCCCTGGACACCTTTATGTCCTAGTCACATGACCAATTTAGTGAGAAAGATTTGCTCTGCATAAAAATCTGTCCCAAATTCTGTCAAAATTACAGATATCAGGCTATACATAAAATTTTAAATTGTGTTGATGTATAAATAAATTACAGAACTTCTTTTTTTATGTTCGTCATATTTGAAGCGTAGAGGAGCATCGAGCGGACTGACCGGAGAAATCTCCAGTCAGTCTGCCTGGTGGCTTTGATCGTATTAATTGTCAAGTGCCAAAAAAATAATCGATTAAAGTTTTTCTGACGATTAATTGCACACGATACGATTATGCCCAACCCTAATTCAAACATCAGATAATCTATGAAAGTTGAGACTCACGTTTTAAGTGTACCAGAAGTCATGAGTTCTGTGACCAATACAATGCACTTCCTTCCCTTGGAGGGTCCCTCCCAGGAGTCATAAAAGCGAACAATGTTGGGATGCTGTAGCCCCTTTAACATCCCCGCTTCCTCTTTGAAGCGCTGTCGCTCTGCCTTCGACAGCTTACGATCCTAAAGGGAGCAAAAAAGGAAACATTTTAAAATTACATAAGCCTAAGGGTCATCACTTTATTAGCTTTTCATAAAAAGAACAGAGTAATAATTCTGGTTACAAATGTTGATGACTGAGCACAGTATATTTGTCAATACAGCATAACTAGAAAAAATAGAAGATAAAATATTGTTTCTTCTCACACAAAAATCACACACATAGGTCGCAGGAATGTCGTTGGTTTTTTTTTCTGTAAACCAAAAGAATGTGTCTGGCTTTGGCCTTAATTTCATATAAAAACAAATTCAGAAAACCAAACGGTTGGCAGGGAATTGCAAAGGAATGAATAACAAATCAGCCCCTTCATGCAACAACTGTTATTCATCATTTTCATTATAATACAGTAGCAACAGTTAGTTACTAGTCACATGACTCAATGAAATGCATTTATTCAGTGTAGAATTGTTTTAATGTGATTTATTTCACATTATGGTCTTAGAACAATCATTTGTATGCAGAAAACAGGCATCTGTTYAATGATTGTTTTAATTTAGATATAATCACAGCAATAAAATTACTACTGATATACAAAACTGAAGATAAAGACACATCTCCACTTCTGAACACAGTTGACAAAAAGATTAGTTTTGAATGATTCACACAAAAGCAAACCTACTTGTCGAATGCATAGATAAGATAGCCTTATTCATTTCAGTAGGGACTGCGGCTTAACAAAAAAATGTGGAACACGTGGAACCACCCATCTCAAGTTTCCTGAGCGTATCCTTGCATGACCCACATTTGGATCATGCATGACTACACAGCTGTAAACTCGCTGCACTTGGAAACCCTACAGCCAAAGACCTCCCCCAGAACTCCCAGTGTGCTGGCCACCAGCCAGAATTTCCAGGAATTTCAGCCCACTTTTGAGTCGAGAAATAAATTTTGACCTGGCTAAAGGCAGACAAACTTTTCAGTGTTGCAAATGAAAAACTGGTCATATTAAACTTAGATTGGTTTAAACTAAAGTGTTGTTCAGAGATTTCAAGTAAAAAAACAAACAGAGCAGACAAATTGAGATAAAATAATATAAAATAGTTTAGGGGCAACATGAAGTCTTCAAATAAATTAAAAAAAAACAGATAAAGTGAGTGACTATTGGGCAACTGTACAAAGTGACCTTTTATTTTAGAACTAGTGGGCCTTTTATTCCCTTTCTCTTCTGCTTACCATGTCAAAATAAGAATGTAAAACATCCACAGGTGCACATTCAGTCAAGCTGGCCACTGAAAGCATACCGACACTTTGACAGCTGTCTATAAACAAATGTTATCTCCTACCAAGGCCGAAATAGTAAAAAGCTACATTTCTTGTAAGAGAATATTTAAAGTGAGAAAACACGTCTAAATTCTACTTAAACAATTTATTGATTGTAGAAATTTTGTTAAATGTGTGAAAAACAATCACAAAAATTGTGTATTTTGACAGCTATTATTATTTAATCATTTTATTAGAAAGAAAAAGTGACATGTTTCAGTCGTTGTCTGACAGAAACATAAATATATAAATCTGACAGATTTATGTTTGCTCCTTTTGTCATGCACTAATTTACTGGGCTGTATAGTTAGCCATCTCTCCTGCTGACAGTCACAACATAAATTCAATGTGTTGAAGGGAGTTATAGGTTTGACAGTGCAGACATGAGTTGTGCAGCAGAAACTTAGTTCTCCACTAAGCAAATTGACTTGCTGAAATTCAGCACTTTGAATAAAATACTGCTCATCAGCTACAACATGTCACCGTCATCCATAGTTCTTTAATAATTCACATATGGCCTTTCTAAATGTTGTTTWTATAACTGAGCATAGGTTAAAAAAACATTTAAAAATTGTCCACTTATGCCGGCAAATAAAGATGAGATTTCTATCTTGAAAATCTAAAACCACCTCATACAGTCTCTGGTTGAAACTCAACCCTTTATGTACTACATTTAGTCCAAATTCATGTTTATCTGCAAGTGATCTAATTGTGGCTCTACATTTGAAGCTCTGCAGAGTCTCCCTTCACAGTCTGTTTATTTTCTTTCTGCCTTATCTTCTTTCATGTTTTTAAAGTTTTCTTAAATACTGTAGATTCAGAAATGATTCACACGGTCCACCTGTGGTGAGATTTCATTCATTTACAAAACAAACCTTGAATTGACAAAAAAAATTGAACTTGCACAGCCCTGCTGTACAAAAGCTGATAAAAGTTACATAGACATGAGAATATAACAAAAATAACAAGAACAAAATATTAATATTAACTGATTAAAATAATAATAAAAATAAATGGTGATATTATGAAGACCATTAACAACATTTTAAACAACTATTTGCAGGAACCACTTTATTCCCATATGAAACCTACTGTTAACTACAAAGTGGCAAGTACTGCTTCGAGGTAAAGGCCATCATAAATAACATATCATCCCTAAAATAGACGGAGGATAAAAGGCCTGTGAACACCATACCCTGGAGGCTTGATGAAGTTCTTTCTACACTGACGTAGGTCATGGCTATAAATCAAAGAGCTGTGACAAACGAACAACTGTACTAAAAGAAGTTTCTCCTGATGTGAATCATTTCTGTTGTGTGACTCGTGACACTAAAACTCAGAGATCAGATGTCAGATACTCAATACGGGCCATTTCACACTTTATAGTGGTAACAACATCAGTCAAAAGACCATTTAGCAAGATCCTGCTCTGTTAATAAAGTATGACACGATTTATAAAAAGAATGCTGATCTTAACCAAACTTTGCCCAGTTATTCAGATAGAGATTTTTTTCTAGTTTCATCCAAACCAAGTTAAATCAGAATATTTCTATCACTCTTAGTTTAAAAAGTGTGAAATCAACATTCAATGTTTTAACAAAACCTATTTGTGAAAAGGGCTACAGACACTTATATAAATATAAAAAGAGAGAGAATGAATGCAGTCCTACACTAAAATGTGTGAGAATAACCTGTGGCCCTTTAATGTTTCCCACAGGTCAGATCACACCCTTCGGTTTTATCTCAGTTTAAAGTTTAAAGATTAAATCTTTCACAGCTGTGTGCAAACTACGCTTCTGGTACTTCCCACTACAGCAGCTGTCACCAGAACCATATTTTGATAATGCAAATAAATGTTCAAACATGCTCTTTTTCAAGTTTCCTTTTCAAAATCTGGTTGAGTCATTAAGGCATTAAGTGTTTAAAAGGTCACCATTTTCCACATGGTTTAGTCATAAGGGGAATGAAACCCATGCTGAAAAGATAATCCTATTTGTTCAGCGTTATGATCTACAATCAGTGCTGTTTTCTGTAAAAATGGTTGACTATATTTACAACATATCAACGGCACAGAAAGCTTTGGGTCTATATGTTGTGAAAATTGTGGCCTATTTTTGTTTTCACAGCTTGCAAAATTGTGGGCTGAGCTCCAAGGTTGGTTAATTGGTGTCTATCTTCAATTTATCWATTTATTTATTTTAGCTAGATTTCTTTTTGTTTTCAAGAGTTCTAACCTGAAAATAAATAAATATACCGTATATTTGAAATCAAAACAGTACGTAATTGAGCGTTTGATGTACTGACAAGCCACAATGGTACATCAAATACTCTATTTGTGTTTGCTTTCTTCTGTTTTAAGGTTTTGTTCAAAACAKAGAAGTCATGACTAGAGCTGTGTATTGGCAAGAATTTGGCGATACGATACACATCATAACAGAGGGGCCACGATACGATATATCCCGATATATTGCGATACTGTAAGCAAGGCAATATATTGTGATATATTGCGATTTTTTTTGTCCAAAAATTCTATTGAATAAAAACCTCTTACTGAAAAATGAAAAAGAAAAGCTACTGTTTACTTACAATGCTAATGCTACCCTTACTCTCTGGCGCTCAAGAGGTAGAGGAGCCAAATGGCTGGCTCACTGCTGCCAACTAGTGGTCAGAGGCTGAACTACAACATAAAAATGAACAGTTGGCAAGAAGATTGACATTTTAAACCTTAATAAAAAAATCGATACAGGGCTTTAGAATATCGATACAGTATCGGGAAATGAAATATCGCGATATTTCAGTGTATCTATATTTTCTTACACCCCTAGTCATGACCCATTAGGATTTCTAATTGAACTGACAATAATTATTATCTAAGGCGAYGCATTTCTTCTCCACAGTCCTTCCCCAGGATCATTTAGAAAGTAAGTTCTTAAGACATTACTCCTGCAGGTTTTAATGAAGAAAAATATCTTGTGCTATAACAATACAACATTCTTTAAAGGTAACTACTTGAACAAGATATGGGAATTGGCGGTCTGCTTCTCCTTAAAAATTTTAAGTAAAGCTTAAACATAAGATTATCAAGACAAGTCAGTATTTTATAGTATTTAGGTGAAGCATGTCACTCCCATTGRGATGCCTTTGGCCAGTTGGACATAACTTTTACAGTTTCAGAGTGATGTCTGGGATTTGTCTAATCTTAAATACAGCTTTAGCCAGTACAAGGAAGAAGCAGTGGCTGGAAGATGACGTAGATAAAAACTGATGATTAAAGAAAGAAGAGGCTTCTAAATKTATTCATTCTTTCCTTAACTTCTTCTCTGCACTGACCTACTTTTTGCGCAGACAAGCCTGCAACCCGAGACATGAAACAAAAGAGTGGGGTCATGAGTAAGTGAAAAATGGATCCGCCTAGAAATTCTTAAGAGATTTTGAACAAATGGTCTTTCATACTTGAGTCAGTGCAGCTGTGATGTTTTCAGGCAAATGCTTTGCACAAAATGTTGAAAGCTGAAATGTATTTGATGAGTAATTACTCTTAACACTTATGAGGAAAAAAAATCCAAACTAATGTCCCTCAAAGACAAATCCAAGTGTTTAAAAAGATTAAAATAGTAAACTTTCTCTGAATGCACATATACATTAGACTGGCTGAAGTGATGCTTTTTACCGTAGTTGCACAGGATTAGTTTCATGATGCCAAGCTTAAGCAAAACTCAAAAATCTTGTGAAAGAAAACCTGTAAGACCTGTTTTGTTACCAAACATGAACAGGAGCTGCTGTTGCCTTAAGCAGACACTCAATTCCCAAGAGAACACTCGAGGCAAAACTAAGTACTCTGAACCCCCTCCTCCTTTCCTGAAACTTAAAATATATAAAGAAAAATTAACATTTCAACTCTTTTTTTGAAAATCTAAATTAATATTAACTTATTTTCCTGTGACTGTACAACATTCAATTTGCATTAGTTCCAAATGGATGCCTATGTTTTTTCCATCATATCCAAACACAATTAGCATTTTAGAAAAAAGATTGAGGATTTAAAAAAATAAGTAAACGATTCAAACAAGGTGCTTCTACCACTGAAGATCACTAAAGAAGAAAGAAGAAGGAAGGCTTTGGAAATCCCAAATTAAAACATTTCAATGTGTAACTACAATGATGAAAAAATAACAGATATTTAATTAAAAATAATACCATCCATAAATGCAACACCAATATACGAACAATATCTGTTTCCACTTCATTATCATTAAATATCCTAATATTTCAAATTACCAAAACAACAACCTTTTAAAAACAATTATAAGACAAAGTCGTTAAAAAAAATCAATACGTGTCTGTTTATGTTACATTTATCTGGATATAAAAAGGGGAAAATGGTAGAAGGGTGGGAGGTGGACTGACGGCTTCGAAGCAGGACTTGGCAGGTCAGCCTGCTGTGCTTCACACAGGAGATTCCTCCGTGAGGAATGTGACCCGTTTTACATTCACACAGCTTCGGCTGCAGGAACAGTGAGCATGCGCACGATTCGGCCTGAGCGGGGGAGGGGCACATGTCTAATCTTCACATTGTTCTGAAACCAGCTTCAAGTGTGTCTGTGGTTCTGCTGCTGCTGTGTGAAGAAGTTTGCCATGTGGTGAATGAGATCAAACTTTCAACTCTGAAGTTGCTGAAACTGGACAGGCAGCAGAGATGTTTTACATGATTATTTTTAAGAAAAGTAAAACATATTTAAAAAAGCAAGACAGGCAAGAATCCAATTAGGTCAAAGGTCACATTGGTAAAGCTGTACTTTGAAGGGTTAACATAGTGATTTGTTTAATACCTCAACTAATGCTACACTTAAGGAAAATGTCATCTTTGAGTTCAACTGCCTTTTAGAGAATTTTAGATATTTCACATATTTAAAAAGGGACAATTGTTTAGGAATAAAAAAATCTGATTTTAATGACAAGAATTTGCACAGGCCCTGTTGATCTCTGGAAACATTACTGTGATGGTTATTGTGGAGAATAAACATTTACATGAATATAGCTTGTCTTGTTGAATCTGCTGTACGTAGTTTTCATGCCTGGCAGGGTTGCCAGATAAGGAAATGATGATATCAAACCGTTGCTATCATGTGTGATGTGTGAGGATACAATGTCTCAGAGGGAGAGGTGTGTGTTATGATTAGTGAAGGAGCACAGACAAGGAGGTAATTAGGAAATAGTAATTCAGTAATTCTTGTGTATCTTTCAACACTGATGCTGGGTCAGTTGACACTTCAGTGTGCTGTTTGGTTTCAAACATGAAAATAGTTGCATCTAAAAGGATGAAAAAAACATTTGTTTGGCACAAGGATGAGGTTGATTTGCTTCTACATGTTAAAAAGGAGGTGAGTAKCACAAACAGCACTCCACTAATTTGTGACCATTGCAGAGAAACAACTGAATGCAGTCGCCTGTAGTGCACATGTTTCACATCTCTGCAAGGGATTTCCCAAAAATCTCCTCTCTCAAACCTGAATGCAAAACATTTCAGTTTCAGCAGAAACAAGYGTGGTGCTCAAGTACTCGAAAGGCTAAACCACAGCAGAAATGTTATGGTTTCGCTCAAAACTGAGCCTTAGTTTCAGCTCATTAGCTTAACATTTTAGTGTGGAACTATTCTATTCATTATCAATCAACACTAAACCTTGTCAGTGGTAACTTTTGTGTTAGTTATGAAACTAAAATTGTACAATAAACAGGATAGGGGAGGTTTTTTTTTTTGCAATGCTTCTATGGTGGGTGCAAGCTGAAACAATCAAAAGGGAAATCATGTCCATATTTATGAGAGTGAAAAGTGGTGAAGGAAATAAATTTGTTTCTAATCCACTCAAAGGATATGCCACATTTGCAACAGAATGCAACACTTAAACCCCTTTTTATCACGGGTTTAAAATAAAAAATTCATGCTCGTTTTCAGTTCAACAAATGTGCTCTGAGCTATGGACTGTAAAGCATTTCACACAAAGGCTCTGAATAAAAAAAGACAAGATGGATAAAATTACCAGTCTGTAAAACACAACAGCTTATTCTTAGTTTTGCTGYATTAGCTGTCTGAACTCTATTTGATTAAAAAAGTGATGAGTATAATAATATCAGAAACCCACTGTTATCAAAACCGTGGCCTGCAACACGAACAATGTTTATTCTAATGCAACAACAAAACTAAACGTGTTCAACAAATGCTTATTTACAGCAATTAAATAAGAAGAAATGTCATACCTGCAGCTCACACCAYGCCACCTCCACTGTTGTTTCAGTGTCCAAGCCCTTGTAGACGGTCTTGAAAGAGCCACGTCCAATTTCTATATCGAACTTCAAGAATCGTCCATCAGGTGATGTTCCAACGGCTTTAGTCTCTGCCTCTTCTATATCGTCCTGCACTCTTTTCTCAGCCTCTCTTTGCTCTGCCTCCGCTCGTGCCTTGGCAGAATCCTTATCTCCCTCCTCCCCCTCATCCTCAGCAGGCACCTTTACCTCAGCGGTGCTTACAGGTTCTGAGTGAATTGGCAATTCTGTTCCTAGACACGGAGCAGCGTGAGCTGCTACCAGCACATCTCCGTCACAGCTTTCCTGCACAGCAGCAGATTCTTGTGCTGAAGGCACATCTCTCTTAGTTATTTCTAGATCTTTTTCTTGTTTTTCTCTTCCATTTTCAGTGCACTTTTCGTTTTGATCTTTTCTTGCTTCAGCCTTTGTTGAGTGAGTATCACAAGCCCTTACAAGCTGAAGGACAGGTTCCTGTGGCTCATATCGCTGAGGAACCAGGATGGGGATTTTGCTGGGTAAAGGAAGGGCCAACGCCGTAGCGTTGGAATCACTGATGACACTTCGACGCAAGAACCGGTGCTCGGGATTACATCGGTCACGCTCCATGGTGTGATGCCGGCGTCTTACTTCTACCGACCGACTCTCGTTCACCAATGAATCTGAACCCGTACTGGGGCCATTTCCACTTTTTGGAGGGGGAGCTAGGAACTTCACCATTTTTTCATCTGGCTTTTCCGACATCCCCACCACCYGGACGAAGAAGGTACAGTAACAAAAAAATAAATAAAAATTAAAAAAAGAATTCTTCCATGTTTGTCACATGAGCTTGTATAAGCCTCATCAATATGTGCTTTGAAAAAAATAAAAAATAAATATAAACGTAGAATTTCTGTTTGGTGGTGTCCTTTTTTCACCGTTCAATGACTGTCTTTATATATGAAACGCAGCAACTGGGGACGTATGATGGGAGGTGTTCCCTTATAAACGGAAAAAGACTGAACACTGCAGCAAAACACAGAGTACGGATGTTGATACACAAGTATCTTTAGGTTCACACCATCCATCCTGTAAGACACAGGGTGCAGCTTCTCTCAAGCATAAGGAATCACTGGTGAGGAACAAACACGCACTGCCTACAATTGGCACCGATCACCCCACGCTGGGCGAAGGCAGGATGGGCAAACAGCCTGAATAAGCTCCAGTCCGCGTTTCCTGCAATAAAAAAAAAAAAAAGAAAACAAAAGCTTACATTGAGCTTGGCATTGTTCTGTATAATGTAGCAAACATTATGTCAATTGTCAACACAATTTGTAGTGACCAGCACAAGTTTTACCAGACAGGATTTACAGTGTAAATAAATTCATGTTTAAACCAGAAGCAGAGCCGTTAAACACGGTTTACCTACAGCTTCAGAAACGGTTTCTTGAGTAAATATTAGCTGGACTTCTTTGATGGTAGTACTATAAATTATTCTGTGATTATACATTTAATTGTCATTTTGTCCCTGTCATTTTTACTAACAATCATAAGTTATATTTCTCATCTGTGACTACTTCGAAGACACCAATCATTTGCGATAGTGTTTATAAAAAACAAAATAACCACCTTAAGGCTCACAAATAAAMCACTGAGTGCTTTGCATTAGATGGAAACCAGATGTGCCAGGTTCAACAAATTGAAGTACCTTACTGCTGTCATTAAAATTGAATAATAATGTTTTATAAAGGTTGATATAGAGCAGTTTCATGCGCTTTGTGAGTCATAAAGCACAGACTACATATGCAAAACTGCGTTCAGTATTTCCGCAAAAATAGGAACAGGTTTGCATTCTGACCTCTGTTATGGTTGTGCAAACCCGCAATAACAATGTCGTTACATATTAATCACCTTTTTCCTGTCATGGTTGCAGCCATGACCAGCGTAAGCAAAAAATATAATGTCAAAGCTAACCCCCGAAAAATTGTAGCTGCAGACATCTAAAAATAATTACAATATTTCGTCCTAAACTGTTTAATATAATAAAAAAAAAACGGCAAAGCTTTAGACACATATATACATATATTTATTTATTCACAGCAGTCCGTTCAAAATGGCAATACCGAGTCAACATCACAAAACGAGGGGGTGCAACGGCTCTTTGTTAGCACGCTAACCACCATAGCTAGCACATAGCTAGTTAGCTGGCGTTTGCTAATCCTTTAACAGGGAAACGAGAGCCAACGATGACTAATTTCCGCGTCACGTATTTAAAAAAAATGTTTTAAGCCTCGGAATTCATCCTACGATTTCTCAAAGCTAACGTCAACACAGTGTTATGTTATCAACTCTCCTGTATAAGATAAATAAACACGGATATCTCACAACTTTACCGTATCGAAGTACAGCTTCCATCCCGTTGTGATTAACCCCGCATCGGATACATCGAACCGGTGTGAAAGTCGGTTGGAAAGGCGGTGACAAATAGCGCCACTGCTACCCAGCAGAGAAACGTTAGCTAGGCGGGGCTTGCAAATATGGCAAGCCAACATAACATAAAATAGTCGGACAGGATATTTAATGCAGATAGAATATTTTAAAAAATTATCAGCATTTCTGCTTTATAGAAAACAATTTGTTCAATTCCCAATCAATATTTCGGATATATCAAATGTTTCAGACATCAGTAATAATATATATAAGTATACATTATAAAATGTCTATTATTACATAGACATATTTATATTTATATGTCTATTATTTGAATATAAACAAATAAATTAAATGTGAATTTCAACAGGGAAGATTTCTATTTCAGATATCCWGAATGCACCGGTGGATAGAAATCTGAAGTTGAAAGTCAAAAAGTGATGATATTTAAAACATCCAAAATGTTGATTGTGGGTAGGCAAAACCCCTTTGAAATATCTGATGTTTTTTTTCCTGGCAAGGAAGAACTGAATTGTAGAAACAGGTTAAATATAGACAGTAAAGTAAATATTTAGTTTACCATCATCAGTGTGTAAATGTGTGTGTGCATGGGTGAATGTCTGTAAGTGTAAAGCGCTTTGGGGTCTGGAGGAACTTGATAAAGCACTCGATAAGTTCAGTCCATTTACCATAATAATGATTTCAAATTCTTATTTTTCACCCTACTGAGGTGTGTCTCAAAGCAGCTCATTCTGATGCTCTCTTTAAATCCAAATATAACAATAAGACCCCCCTCTAGCTTCCAGAGTGGTCCATTCTAGTTTGATAGAGGGGAAATGTCTATAGTGAGGTACAGAAATGTTTCATTTACAATTTAATTAAAAGAAGCCAACAACTTGTCTGCATTTTTGGAGACTCCACACAACAAAAAGCATTGAACGGCTAAAAATGTAGATTAAACGTCGAAACAACCACTTAAAAAATTTAAGTATTTTTAGATATCCTAATCGTAGTTGTTCTTAAAAAAWTCCTTATCTTGCAGGTCTTTATTGTATTTTAGACAAATTAAATATTGATATTTTATGTTACAACAGCCTGCCCTAAAAATGGCCTAAAAATATACAACCACCTCCTCGCAGCCACCATTCAATTTAACATTTACAGTAGCTTTATTTACAAATGTTCGAGACATTAAATTATAACTCAGCCAAGAAAGGATTTTGGAGGACGTATTTATTTATGATTACGTCAGATTAATGTATGGTTTTGTCTGCTCTAGCGAAATTAGCAATGTAGCTCCTCAAAAACCAGGCCAATGTTGGGGAGCCGGCTGATCATTGATAGAAACCTACTTACCTTAATATCAAGTCAGAGTCGTTAAATGTATCTTTAGGTCGTCCTCATTTATTTAAAAATGAACCTATAAACATTGAACACGTGTAAGTATCAGGCGGAAGCACATTCCTGATACCGAATGCAGAATTTAATTTTTTTTTTCTTCTAAAGTTCCTTTTCAGGCCAAGTGACGAAGTTGCTACAAAATTGACTGAGGAAGGACGGACTGCGCATGCGCGGTATAAAACCCCTCACAATCATGGCAAATATAAACGCTGAAACATTTGTGTTGACATAATTAAGTTTTTTTTTACACCAAGTTCATGTCCTCTGTGCATGAAAGAATAAAACATGAAATACATTTCCTTGATAGTGTGGTATAATCATTCAGCATCAACAAAAAGTTTGTTGATCTAAAGAAAAGGGATGCAAAACCTCTGATTTTTTTCCATTAAGGTAAGCACTGCCCCCTGGTGGTTATTTTCTAAAGTACATGTCCATTCGATCTGCTTTTAGGAGTGAATTATGGGCAACATTGATTACTTTTATATATAATTTATATATAATTACTATTATACCCTTTTTACAGTTTAAGGACATTTTAATTATTTTCGTATTTGTATTTTGAGTAAGTAGCTACTATCTTCATTGCTGTGCAACCTGTTCATTAACCACTCCAGCCCTTGTACACACATTTTTTTTGTCTCCTACAATGTATTTACTACTTTTGGACATTAATAATAAGTTATATGTTTCCTGTAAGGCAACATGCATTGAGATTTTCAAAAGCAAAGATAAAGCAGTTGAAATAATATTTTCAACACAAGAAGAGTGTGAACTTGAGAACCAGCCAGTTGAGTAGTTTTCAAAAGTGCAGAAATGTTTAATAACATTTTTGTTAAGTTACAGAATTAGGAGTAAATCTTCCACCAAAGCAGTTCTTTTTAGAAAAAAATGTGGAATCAGTACCATACATCACGGTCATATTTAGATGTGCAAACACAAAAAAACTACCTTGAAATGAAATATTCAATTTATATCATACTTTCCTAATTTCTCAGATGTGTATATATATATATATATATATATATATA